GCTTTAACTTAAAATCGCGAAGAGAAGTGGAAAAGAGTTAGGCCAAAGAACACTTTGTGTCGAGAAATAGAAGCACTTATGAAAAGGATGAATAACAACCGGAAAGAACTGGAATGGATTACTCAGGACAGAGATGAATGGAGAGTGGTGGTGGGTGGCGTACGCTCCTTCACGAGAAGTAACTGGGGTAAGTAAGTAAGTAACTCTGATAACCTAAGTCTTCTCATTGGATTATCGATATTTATCAAAGAGACTATTTTTTTCAATAATAATATTATTATTATTATTTCACTTCTCATCTCTCGTTTTATTGTATATTTTATTCAATCTAATTATCATTATCTTTTTCCTCCTTTTTTTAAATGAATAAATTCGTATATAGATTGACATTGTGTTAGTATAGGTAACGAATTAATTTATGTTACCATAGTTACTAAATATACATTTATCGATTTTTTATTTTATAATGAAAATAAAAAGAATCAAATGTTTCATTGACATATTCTTCCCTAAATTTATCATTCAAACATTATTGTCATTTATTCAATGTTGAGAGTGTATGTGTGCTTTACACACGCACACACATACACACGTGTGTGCGCGCGCGCCCGTTTAATAGTCGTTAATATAATTTCAATTATCAATGATTGTTTCTTTTCATTTTGATAAGAACAGAACAGAATAGAACAAAACAAACAAAAATAATAATGAATATAAGTTTTGTGATTGAATATATAATGAATCGAATAGTAACGCCCATTGATGATGTTTGTTCTCATTAAAATTCTATATTTATTGTTTTGTAATTAATTGAATCGTTAGTATAGGGGTTGTGGATTGGTTGATGTTAGACACTATCACCATTGGATGCCGGCTAGCTCGGTGGTCCAGTAGATTAAGCGTTCGCGCGCGAGACCGAAGTCTCTGGGTTCGAATCCCGCAAGTGGGATCGTGGATGCGCACTGCTGAAGAGTCCCACAATAAAACGAAACGGCCGTCCAGTGCTTCCAGATTTCCAAAGGTGGTCTAACATCAATCGGTTCATAATTTAATCGTGTTAGAACAATAATAATACGATACAATTAAAATTTAGATAACGTGAAAACAACAGTAATTGATAGTTTGCTATCGAATTCAGAAATATTCGTTTCATCCTATTTAAGACTCATCAATTGAATGCATTTGAATCTAGTGTTCATATAAGTTTAAGCTGACAAGTTAGAAATAAGATGATAAGAGCATTCTGGATTCTCATCTACAAATAATCAACATTATCACTTAAAGATAGAAAAATTGAGATGATGGAGAAGATTTATAACTCATGTGGATGATTTTCGATGGAGTTTCGTTCTCTGATCTGGATGGTTTGGTCGTAAATGAAAATTCTACGACCAAACCATCCAACTCAGAGAACCAAACTCCAACAAAAAGATAGACAAATTAGTCGATTGTAATGCTATACAAACGTTTTTTTATGCTCTACAGTTACTCGTTATCGATTGGAGACTTCTAAAGATAGAGTTCAAAATCGATCGAAATGATGCAAGTACATTCACTTCTTGTCTTAGATCTTAAGTTTTAAAATGATTTCATGATATTGTTTACATGAATTCATTCTTTCTTTAACGAATTATGTCGTTTATACTTAATGTTTTCTACTGCTGCCAATATCTATTGTGGTGTATGCTACGTATTTTCGCAGATATACGTAGTATGTAACACCAGTCGGAAGTGGAATGTCTGTGAGCAGAAGGTTGAGAAGATTGAAATGAACAAAAGAGAGAAAGGAAACTGAAATCAATTAAGATGACAAAAAGAATGAAGGAACAATGAAGCTTATAAGAGAAAATTCAAAGATGTGCAAATAATGTATTTGAAGTATGATCTTCATATTTTACTAAACAACTATGTAATTTCACAGGTTGAAATCATGAGTCAGTTGAAGCTAGACCACCACTGAAAACCTGGAAGCACTGGACGGCCGTTTCGTCCTATCGTGGGACTCCTCAGCAGTGCGCATCCACGATCCCACTTGCGGGATTCGAACCCAGGACCTACTGACTTCGCGCGCGAGCACTTAACCGTTAGACCACTGAGCCGACATCCAACGGTGTTAATGTCTAACTTCAACCAATCCACGAAGTTGCGCCATCGAACACCAATGTCTTCAGTGAGCTGATATCTCACAACAGACCTGGTTGTAATTGTTCAGTAAAAATTAAATTGGTCTTTCCCACTTAAGTGTCCTCTTCACTACGCTTTTACTACATTTACTTATTTGAGATTTTGAAATAATTCTTAGACTACTATGCCAACACTATTTAGTAACTTGAACTGTTGCACATAAACTATAGATTCTACACTGTATATGACTAATTGACCATTATAGATTCTTATTCTTTTGAAAGAATGGACAAAATCTTTGGAATGAACAGTAGGAATAATCCTGCAAAATATGATGATTCGCTATGTAGATGACACTTTCGTCATCGTCAAAAAGAATGAGCTGGAAAATACTTACAAACTGATCAACAACGTTTTCGATTACATCAAGTTCACAATGGAACAGGAGTCAAACAACAAACTATCATTCTTGGATACATTGATCACTAGAACCGCCACAGGAAAACGGGAAACTCAAGTATGTAGGAAACCGACCCATACAGATCAAATCCTCAAATACAATAGCAACAACCCAAGAGCTCACAAAATCAACTGCGTACACACTTTGTTCAAGAGGGCAAGGACACTGCAGTACACTGGCAGCACGAAAAAATGAGAATAAATACCTGAAGGACGTACTCCAAAAGAACGGCTACCCAATCAACTTCATCAAAAAATACCAATCGCACGAAGCATCAGAACCCAAGTCAATCAGATAAATCAACAAAAGGATCACCCTATCATACATACAAGGAATATCAGAAACCGCAACGAGACTGCTGAAAACCTTCGGGATAGGTGTGACACACAAACCGACAAAATCACTACAATCAATCCTATGCAAACCAAAGGATGAAATAACAAAGGAAAACAAATCAAACATCATCTAAAAAATAAATTGTGCCAACTGCGAAAAACACTAAATCGGACAGAGCGGACGCCCCCTTCACCTTCGCCTACACGAACATAAATTAGCAGTCAAACGCCATGATATTTCCTCACTTATATCAATACACGTGGACAACTGCGGACATTCATTTGATTGGAAAATGTAGAAATCTTTGACAGAGAAAATTCCAAAAACACCAGAGAATTTTTAGAAGCTTGGCATTCAGATCAATCAGCAATCAACAAGAATATTGAAATCGATCCAATTTATCAACCAATCAGAAAAATCATGCACAAATATAGGAACAAAAATCAAACCAATGGGAGACACAACCAAAACAAAGAAGTAAACAGTGACAAATTTAAGGTCGATAAGAACCAATCAACATCGAGGTGCACAGAACAAGCTGTGAAACACATATGGAGAAATTCAAACACTTCACTTCTACCTGAAGTTTGTGCTGATGATGTCGTTCAGAAGAACGATGAAAGCTCCACGACCAAACCATTCAGCTCAGAGAACAAAACTCCACCAGATTCTTATTGTTATTATTTTAAAAAAAACATCAACAGGTTAAACGAATTATCGAATTGAAAACCTACAAACAATTATGTAAAACTCTAACAGTTGAATTCACAAGTCAATCTAAGCTAGACCGCTATTGAAAACCTGGAAGCACTGGATGGTCGTTTCATTCTAGTATGGGACCTCTCAACAATTCAAACAAATAAGTGTAATACATTTTCAAAGCTACAGGAATATATGAAGCAAGTTTATTCAAAGCTTTTCACATCATTATCGCCCATTGATAGTGAATAAGTTTTCAGACCATATTTGTGTTTCTAGAACATCAAAATAAAGATCTTCTATAATGATTGTTTCGATAATAAAAAGAAAACGTTAGAACCAAAGTTAAATTTTCGTGCTAAATAGTGAGATTAGTTGATTAATGCACAAAACTAACATATAAAAAGTCTTATTGTTTACAAGAAAATGGTTCAAACCATGATAACAACCAGTAACCCCATTAGTCCTGTCTACTTACACTATCCGATTGAAATACATCTTGAGTCAAAATACTGAATGCTGATAACAATTTTATACAACCTGTGAGCAGTGGACGGCCGTTTCGTCCTAGTATGGAACTCCTTATCAGTGCGTGTCCATGATCCCACACCCAGCGAGATTCAAACCCAGGACCTGTCAGTCTCGCGCCAGGCGCTTAACCAACTAGACCATTGAGCCGGCATCCAATGATCTTAATGTCTAGCCTCAACCAATCCACGAAATTGCGCGACCACCTTCCATTGTACTGAGGTAGACACCTGTTTCTACCCGACACGGATTAGCTCCACTGGTCACGGCTTCTCACCAGAACTCCGAGAATTTTCTCACGAAGCGGGATCGTGGATGCGCACTGCTGAGGAGTCCCATAGTAGGACGAAACGGCCGTCCAGTGCTTCCAGGTTTTCTAGCTTCAATTGACTCATGATTTCAATCAAAAACTCAATAATCTCCACAACACCTAAACTGATAATTTTATACAACTTAGGAAACAATCGAAAGAACTTTATCGGTCAAGACTACAATAACACACGTTAGGCACTACTTAATGATCAATCAACTACGAATATATCTGAGTCCTAAAGGAGTTCGGTCACTGACCGTATAGATCAGTGGTAACATTTTTGACTAAAGCTGAGCGATATGGGATTTAATCCACCATGAAGCAACAATTCACTTAAGGTTACAGGTATAGCTTACTGATAAGTGCCAAATGACATGAAACCTGGGTCTATAATTTCTTATTGATCATCTTCAACCATCTAATAAATCAATAGAACTTCTACTGTAATGAAGGTAGACTAGGATTTTTTTTTGAATTTCTTAGAAAAATTAACTGATTGTGTTCAATATAATTAGTTATCTCTAAAAATTAGTAACATACTTTTATACTATATTTATTAGCTATGTTTAATAATGGGAATATTATATCATCCACAGGTTTTCCATTATCATCAGACATACCCTTTGGATACCATGATACGACTAAGACACCTGAAAAGAGAGAAAACATAAATATTATTTTATTGGGCAATGATAGAAAAGTAACTCCGCCTGTAGCTCTTCTAGAGTTACTGCCGGTCCCAAGCCCGGGTAAAGGAGGAGGGTTGGGCATGGGGTTAGCGTCCCCATCCCGTAGAAAACTAACTCGCTAAAAAAACGCTTACCAGAAAAAATAATTCAAACCATTTTAACTCTGCCCTGAGAGTTAGAAGGTCTTCATTTAGAAGAATTATGACGCTTCATGGTGAAAGCCGAGTTCCTTCGGAAGCCACGAGGCCGATGCCCCTTCTAACAACCAGAGCAAAAATTTTTATAGGTACATGGAACGTTCGAACAATGTGGGAAACCGGGAAGACCAGTCAAATAGCAATGGAAATGAGGAGATACAACTTAGCAGTACTGGGAATCAGCGAAACCCACTGGACCCAAGCTGGACAGAAAAGGCTAGCTACGGGAGAGATGCTGCTATACTCCGGTCACGAAGAGGAAAATGCTCCACACACTCAGGGAGTCGCTCTTATGCTGTCCAAAGTAGCACGAAATGCACTTGTAGGATGGGAATCTCACGGATCCAGAATCATCAAAGCATCATTCAAAACAAAGAAGGAGGGGATCTTAATGAATATTATCCAATGTTATGCACCCACCAATGATAGCAACGACGACATTAAAGATCAATTCTACGAGCGGCTGCAGTCAATCATAGAGAAATGCTCAAGAAAGGACCTCACCATTCTGATGGGAGATCTAAATGCCAAAGTCGGAATAGACAACACTGGATATGAAGATATTATGGGACGACATGGACTGGGAGAGAGGAACGAAAATGGAGAAAGATTTGCAAATTTGTGTGCATTCAACAAATTAGTCATAGGAGGCACAATATTTCCACACAAACGTATACACAAGGCTACATGGATCTCACCGGACCACACTACAGAGAACCAGATAGATCATATTTGCATCAACAAAAAATTCCGAAGGACAATGGAAGATGTGAGAACCAGGAGAGGTGCTGACGTAGCTTCAGATCACCACCTAGTTGTAGCCAATTTAAAACTGAAGCTAAAAAAGAACTGGACAAGTGGACAAACAGCACTACAAAGGTTCAATACAGCCTTCCTTCGAGATACTGACAAACTCAATGAATTCAAGATAGCTCTCAACAACAGGTTCCAAGCCTTACAAGATCTACTGAAGGAAGAAGAAACTACCATGGAGGACAACTGGAAAGGCATCAAGGAAGCATTAACTTCAACGTGTCAAGAGGTTCTGGGCCTAAAGAAACACCATCATAAGGAATGGATCTCTATAGAAACACTGGACAAGATCAAAGAAAGGAAGAACAAGAAGGCAGCAATTAACAACAGCCGAACACGAGCAGAGAAAGTCCAAGCACAAGCTGAATACATAGAAGCAAACAAACAAGTGAAGAGGAGCATTAGAGCCGACAAGAAGAAATACGTGGAAGAACTAGCAACGACGGCAGAAAAAGCTGCTAGAGAAGGAAATATGAAACAGCTCTACGATACAACGAAGAAACTAGCAGGGAAATACAGTAAACCAGAGAGGCCGGTCAAAGACAAAGAAGGCAAGCCAATCACCGAAATTCAACAACAGCGTAACAGATGGGTAGAATACTTCGAGGAACTCCTGAATAGGCCGGCTCCAATGAATCCACCGGACATCGAAGCAGCACACACAGATCTTCCTATAGATGTCAACCCACCAACGACGGAAGAAATTAGAATGGCCGTCAGACAAATCAAGAACGGGAAAGCAGCAGGACCCGACAACATACCAGCTGAAGCACTGAAATCAGACATCGAAGCAACCACAAGCATGCTTTACCTTCTATTCAAAAAGATTTGGGAGGAGGAACAAGTGCCAATGGACTGGAAAGAAGGACACCTCGTCAAGATTCCAAAGAAAGGAGATCTGAGCAAATGTGAAAACTACAGAGGCATTACACTACTGTCAATACCAGGGAAAGTCTTCAACAGAGTGTTGCTGAACCGGATGAAGGATGCAGTAGACGCCCAACTTCGAGATCAACAAGCTGGATTCCGTAAGGATCGGTCGTGCACAGACCAAATTGCAACACTACGGATCATCGTCGAACAATCAGTTGAGTGGAACTCATCACTATACATCAACTTCATTGATTATGAAAAGGCATTCGACAGTGTAGATAGGAGGACATTATGGAAACTTCTTCGACACTACGGAGTTCCTGAGAAGATTGTCAACATTATCCGGAACTCATACGACGGACTACAGTGCAAAGTAGTGCATGGAGGACAGCTGACAGATGCATTCCAAGTAAGGACTGGAGTCAGACAAGGCTGTTTACTCTCTCCCTTCCTCTTTCTTCTGGTGGTCGACTGGATTATGAAGACCTCGACATCTGAAGGAAAACACGGAATACAATGGACAGCTCAGAATCAATTAGACGATTTGGACTTCGCAGATGACCTAGCCCTCCTATCACGTACACACGAACAGATGCAGATGAAGACAGCCAGTGTAGCAGCAGTCTCTGCATCAGTAGGCCTCAGCATACACAAAGGGAAAACCAAGGTCCTCAAATTCAAAGCGGAGAACAGCAATCCAATCACTCTTGATGGCGAAACTCTGGAAGATGTAGAATCCTTCACATACCTGGGAAGCATCATCGATGGACAAGGAGGTTCAGATGCAGACGTAAAGGCGAGGATCGGCAAAGCAAGGGTCGCATTCCTACAATTGAAGAACATATGGAACTCAAAACAACTTTCAACCAATATCAAAGTGAGAATCTTCAATACGAACGTCAAGGCAGTTCTACTGTATGGAGCTGAAACTTGGAGAACTACAACAACCACAATCAAGAAAGTACAAGTATTTATAAATAGCTGTCTACGCAAGATACTCAACATCCATTGGCCGGATACCATCAGCAATAGCCTTCTGTGGGAGAGAACAAACCAACTTCCAGCTGAAGAGGAAATTAGGAAAAGACGATGGAAATGGATAGGACATACATTACGCAAATCGTCAAACTGCATCACGAGGCAAGCCCTAACTTGGAATCCTGAAGGGAAGCGGAAAAGAGGAAGGCCAAAGAACACATTGCGTCGGATAATAGAAGCAGATATGAAAAGGATGAATTACAACTGGAAGGAGCTGGAAAGGATTGCCCAGGACAGGGTTGGATGGAGAATGCTGGTGAGCGACCTATGCTCCTTCACAAAGAGTAACAGGTGTAAGTAAGTAAGATAGAAAAGTAACATCTACAAAATGAAACAGATATTTGCTAGAATAAGATTCTGACTAGCTGTAGAATTTAGAACTCCCGTTTGGTTCTGTTATAGATTCGTTAATTAGATGAATTTAGATCTATGTTGTGCTCATATCAAGACTCAAACACAGTACATATTACTTCAAATATCAAACGTGTGTTTGAGTCCTTCAATAAACATAAACACTGGAATGTGATTGAATCCAACCGACGAGAGTCTCAAATAGAACAAAACGCATGTCTTAAATTCTAGTACTGGCAACCAATCAACTTTCCTAAAAGTAATCCCTACAGAATATATATGTGTCAATCAAGACTGACAAATTGAAGTCCTGAATATCAACATCAGGAAAACTTATTCCCTTAAATAATGATGCACAGTGGATAGCAGTAGAGTCGAAGACGCGCGTTTCGTCCTATTTGGGGCTCGTCAGCTGGATATACCTGCATCTCAGAGTTGATGTTCACTCTGGGACTCGAACTCAGTACCATTCGCTTCAAACGCCATCACATTATCCACTCAGCTACTGAGTCCTGATAGTCACTTGCTATTCCTTCAAGTAGGTATCTATTATTTATTAACTAATATTCGTACAACGACAAGTAATTGTTTCATCTCGTACAAGTTTGAATTACATAACCACATTTACAAAAACAATTTAAAGAGATCAAATTTCGATACAAACATGATCCATTTCAAGTTCGTCATGAATATGTGTGATTGCATTTGGAGTTACACACATACACACACACACACCAGTATACCAGAAATATTCGTATAGTGTAGTATTGACAATTTAAAACTTAATCATTTTGTTTTAAAGACAAAGTTGGTTCCATTAAACGGCAATTATCGAATATACAAAATATTTACCATTAATATTATCATCTATAAGACTCTTGATTAAATAACTGACTAACATAACATATGATCTTTCAACAATAAACCGGCTCAAATCATACTGAATACCAGTTGGACAGAAGATGAAACGAACAAATATTAAAATAAACTGAGAGTACACATCTCCTAACATTGCTCCACTGTCTCGTGGATTAGACCTGTAGGTTAAAGGCTTGTGAAATGGCCCGTACCCAAACACTATCCCATCCCACAAACGAATTCAATAATGTATGGCACATATAATCAATAAAAATCATTTGTTCAAAATGTGAGGTAAAATTAAGAAATAAAGTGAATTACATTTTTTTTAATGATATGAATTTTAGGCTGTCATATGATAAGGTATACAATAATCTATTTCAGTTCTCTTAAAAAAGACAACACTTAATTATATCAATAGATTAAATAATCATTTGATTAATCTAAACCAGTTAGTAACATTTATTTTATTTTAACACATAGATATAGGTACAAGGAGGCACCAAATACATATGCGCCACACAAATCTCATTCGATATGTGTGAGGGCTGTGATATTGCCCGGGTGCACAAACCGAAGCAGGTGGTCTTCTTAGAGAGCCACACACGAGCCTTCGAAATGAAGATCTGATCCACAAGGCAGTGGAGCAACGTCAGAAGATGCAGTCACATGGTAGCCGGTGACCAACGATTAGTTCATACGCCATTTGTTCCCTCAGGATACTGAAGCCAGCCCATGTGCACCATTGGTTTGGAATAAGGGTTTTCCAACTCCTCTAGGTGGACTCTCCATGTCCACCAACCCGGTTAAAGCGCCGGACGTTCGCTTATCGTCCTCTCAATTTCGTGAACAACACCCTAACCGTGAGAAGGCAGTGAGTAGGACTTCTCTGGCAGAGGCTATATAAGCGTGGCCATGTGGGAGCATTTGGAGAGGGAGAGCGGACTCCCCCCACTCTCGGCTGTACCAGGGCATTTGGCTGCAGGATCTACCAGATCTGTGCATCAGTTCAAGTTGCCACATCCCGATTAGTGCAATGAGACAAAATTGTCAATTCAAATCCCAGAGTCATAATGGCATTCACAGTATTATTGGTGATAGAAAAGTAGAGTCATTTGAAGAAGCCAAGTGATAATCGAAGAATGCTTAGGGTGCAACTCTCCCTACCCCTAAAGTATTGTTTAGTGGCCCCTATATCTGACTCCAGTTTGGAGAAGGCAAGTTAGCCAACCCCATTTAACCAAGCGTGAATCGAAAATAGCCAAATAAAAATAAGTTACAGACATGTGATGAACAGGATAAGAAGTGTAAACACATACGCTTATATAAAAACAGTCAAGATCGATAAGTGAATAATTAATAAGGTCAAAATGGAGCTTGAGAAGAAAGAGCATATTGGCCTGTCCAGAAGCTAGAATAAGTAATATGGGTTTAGTATAGTAACAGACATTACAATTGTTTATGAACCAGTAAGCGACCAATGCTAAAGTTAGGCATAAATTACTGACTAAAAAAGTGGTAAATTTAGCAATATGACTGTTTTATTTCAGTAACTGAGGTGATTAAGAAAGCTACTACATAATGCAGTGCTTAAGCCTACATTAACGTGAGATAGCGACTAGCGTAGAAGTAAGATGAAGAAAGATTAGAACTAGCTATTTAACTATGGATTCAAATACGGGATAACAGACCACTTGCTCGAGATTCACAGAGAAACATATCGTTGGTGTTTTAAGATGATATGGTGAAAAAAATTGGCCACAGCGGGGCAGATAACAATAATGATAACATTCATTGATCACTAACATTCTTCTAAATGTTATTTGATTTATTTTTTTATCGTACATTAAGTCTAGTACGATTGGGTTCCGGTAGACAGCTGTCAGTCTAGCCCCCCAAATGCTCTGGAACGGCCGAAGATCGGGGGTTCGAAATCCTCCAATATGGCCACGTGTATACAGCCACTGACAGTGAAGTCCTACTCAACGCCTTCTCGTGACGGGGTGTTGTTTACGAGATTGAGAGGATGAAGATGGAATTTCCGGTGCTCAAACTGAGTTTGTGGGTACGGAGGATGCACCTGGATGAGTTAGAAAATTCTGATTCCAAACTATCAATGCACATTAGCTCCAGGATCCTGAAGGAACGAATAGTGTATAAATGTATTCTTTGTCACTGGCTACCATAGGATCGCATCTCCTAACATTGCTGCACTGCCTCGTGGATTAGACCTCTAGGTCAAAAGCTTGTGAAGTGACCCAATAAAAAAATCACCCTCTTCGTTTTAGGCACCCAGGCAGTATCCCATTCCACACACGAATTCAATAATATGTGGCACATATATATTTTGATTCCTCTTTGTACCAATGTTTATGTGTTTAAATTAATAATAATAAGTACGACTGAGCACCAAAGACAGAACACACCACACAAAATATATGTTGGAAATAACGTTTTCCTTGACTTTCTCATGCTGTTACTGTCGTCAACCTTACTTATTTACTTTTGTTTTCGTTGATTTAAACTTATTAAATTCATGCAAATTGTGGCGAATTAAACATTAATCAACCTTAAATTACTGGAACGTTTATCCTAGAGATTACTGAACAATTAAGTCGAACAGGGTCACAGTAACTTAGTGAGCCACATTCAGTCTAAGTTGGATTTAGTGATATTTTTTATCTTTATACTAGCAATTCTACCAGAACTCGCTATTAAGTCCTTAGACACATAAACACTAAGTCATGGAGTCATCAGACTAATATCAGTTGTTTAACCACAATTTGTTATCTTACGCCAAGGTTCTCACAATAAATCATGGGTATGAATAAGCATGACAAATTTGACAACGACTAAGATAAATTCATGCTCGGCTAAAGTGGTAGTTTAGGTATTCAGTTTTCGGCTTCCAAGTCCCAGATATATACACAACTCCATCTACTTCGGTTTTGGTAATCAGGTGGTATTATCAACTCTCACACTTACAGTATGGTTCATACCCATGTACCTGGTGAATGAGTTCATTTAATTTAACTTTAACTAATTAAGTTGTTCATACTGTAATCTTCATGCAACTCAAAAGTAAAACTAAGTTATACGAATTTATATTGGTCGAATTATTCAACTTCATCAGATCTACATAGATATCATAGTCATCATGAAAATCCTGATATGTCTATGTTATCCCAACAAGTAGTAGATTAAACTTCTAATACTTTTGCAGTTTAGTGTACGTTTCTTCTTCAGATAATAAATAACCAAATTGAACCAATACAAGTCTAACTAATACATCAGAAACAAAGTAGAATATCATCGGCTTAATCACAATAAATCTAAATATATTAATGTCATATTATTCAGGTCAAAAGTGATTCTTTGTGAAACATCAACGTCTTTGTGTGTATTTTACTAGGTGTGAGAAAATGCGAAGTTTTCTAATGCCAAAAAACAGTTAAATTATGTTTCATTTTATAATATGGTGAGTCAGTCAGTAACAATGTAGAACTTCGTACGTACGTACATAAGTTCAAGTTGCCATACCACGTTAGCACAGAGATACAGCTGTCAATTCAAATCCCATAGTGGTAGAGGCGGTAAGAGTATAAGCAATAATCGGAAACATTAGGATTTGTTATTCAAGGAGCATAATTCAGTGAAATAAATTTGGGAAGAGGAAAAATAAGAAAGGGACATGAAGAATTCAGAAGATTAGAGTTTGGGAGAACACAAAGAGTAGATGCACCTGTGCGAACCATTGCAAACGATTTGTGCCATGTCATTCAAGGTCTCTAACCATCGGTCGCTATCGTCTCGTGGATCCCAACCGGACAGTCTACACCTACCGATATGACTCAGACCACTTGTCAGTGACTTCATGGATTTGTGAAATGTTTTAGTCTGGGCGCCCCTAGCTTTCTTCCAACCTACTCCTACACTATAAACCATAGCTTGTCGGGGCAGTCGGTGGTTGGACATATGCAACACGTGTCCCAGCCATCTCAACTGATCAAGTTTTACTACTTCATCAATTGATTTGCCATCCTTACATAGTACCCGTTTCCTAACAACTGTATTACTTGCTCGGTGGTCCCAGGATATACGAGTAAGGCTTCGTAGACACTGATGATCAAATACTAGTAGCCTACGAATATCCTCTACACTTACAGGTCATGGTTCACAGCCGTAAAGTAGGACGGTATGAACTGCTGCGCAGTAAACACGTCCTTTGGTTTATAGACGGATATCTCGCCTACGCCATAAATGACGCAAGTTGGCAAAAGCCAGTCGAGCCTTCTGTATCCGTGCTGAGATTTTGTCACACACCAAACCATAAGGGTTGATGAGACTCCCAAGATAAGTGAAGCGTTCGACAGGCTCAACTACTTCACTTCCTATTATTAGTTCCGGTGTCGATGCCACTATGGAACATTCAATGAATCATCGATTTTCAGATTTAGTGGTAATGTTTTTGTACACAACGGCTATTTGAATCTTTTAACTCACATGATGCGTCCTAATGCCAATGGGATGTTTACTTGAGAAATAACGGACAATCAAGTACTACGCCAAATCCTATAAATTTATCTACAATTTAGACCATTATTTTCATAAACAGAACAAATCATTTGAAGAAAATAGTAACCGCTCGAATCGACATATACATCTCTCAGGAATCTTAATTTGTACACCAATTTCATAGAACACATTTTTATTTAGCCTCGAAAAATTCTATATGAAACAGAAACCTAATTTATAATTACGAATTGAACATTATTAAGAAATAAACACATAAGACTTTTGTATCACTGGGTTTTACATGTTCCATGTCTGTCTATTCCTGTTGGTAGTTGTAACTTTTAAGTTCGACGATCTACTTATGAAATTGTCGTTGTTCATTTGAACAAAATCATTAGCACATACTTCAAAGAGAAGTGAGCTATAAGAATTTCTGTATAGTTGACGAAAAAAAAATGGTTTGTGGGTGTGAAATTTGGCTGGTTATTCCCCTAACTGTGTAGTCGATGACCCCTGACCTTGAAGTTGTTTATCTTTCTTCTTATTGGCTGGTAGATTCTCTATAACATTTATTGTGTGTTGTTTGTTTTACATTTTGTCATAATGAATTCATTATTAATATATTTACTAACAGAAAACCTAATAACAAAAACCAAATATACCAAATATGTTACAAATATGTGTAATCAGCTATGACATTGAACATAGTTTAAACTAAATTCACTGTGTTATTTTATTTGTATCTTCCCATTGCAGGTACATCCAACTGACGAATCCAAAATAAGACGAAAAGCGTGTCAACTGGATTCTACTGCTAGCCCCTATCCATCTTTGTTTAAAAAGCTTGTGACTAAAGGCAATTCGTACAGCGTCCACATATACCAATAAAAGATTGATCAATTGCAGTCTTAAATAACAATGGGAAGATTCAAGTAAAAAAAAACACCAAATGAATTTAAACTTCACCCCATTGCACAAGCAAGTGGCTATCAGGACTCAGTAGCTAAGTGGATAACGCGATAGTGTCCGAAGCAAATGGTACTGGGTTCATGTCCCAGAGTGAACATCCAGCTTACGAGTCCCGAATAGGACAAAATATGAGTCCTGGATTTTACTGCTAGTCACTATCTATCTTTCCTTAAATAGTTTAAACTAATATCATGTTCCATAAACTTGTTATATATATATATATATATATATATATATATATATATATATATATATATATATATATATATATATATATTTATTTATTTATTTATTTAAACACATAAACGTTGGTACAAGGAGGCACTAACTACATATGCGCCACACAAATCTCATTCGATATGTGTGAGGGCTGTGATACTGCCCAGGTGCCCAAACCGAAGCAGGTGGTTTTCTTAGGGGGCTACACTCCGAGCCTTTGACCTAAAGGTCTGACCCACAAGGAAGTGAAGCATCGTGAGGAGATGCAGTCCCATGATAGCCAATGACCAACTATTGGTTCATATGCCATTTGTTCCCGCAGGATACTGGAGCCAGCCCATGTGCACCATTGGTTTGGGATCCGGTTAAAGCGCCGGACACTCGCTTTTCGTCCTCCCAATTTCGTAAACACCACCGCCACGAAAAGGCAGTGAGTAGGACTTCCCTGGCAGAGGCTGTATACGCGTGGCCGTGTGAGGGCATTTCGAGAGGGAGGAAAGGCCCTCCCCACTCTCGACCATACCAGGGCATTTGGGGGCATATATATATAGGGAATATAATCGATCAATTTTACAAAAAACCTACCGATTCAGCAAATCTAATCATTTCCATATGAATATGAATAATATTCAAATCTTTTGATGAATATGGACCTAATTTTGGATAGAAAGATGATGCTAATAAATATGGTGGATAATGAGGTTCCGTTGAATAACCAATGGCAACTTTAGCATTCCAATGTTTCAGGCGTGGGTGATTCCAATGTGACCAGTTATTATCATTATTATTCAATGAATTTTGATTTGATAATTTTTGTGGAGCATCATACCATGGATAATAGAATCCATGTACTCGATAACTCAAATTTAATGTTGAATCATCTGAAGTTGATTTGATATTATCCAATTGAATATTCCAATCTAGACCAGATTGATTCTAAACAATAGAAATTAATATCAAGAAATTCAGATTAAAAAATTACATAATAATAATAATATCGTTTACATGGAGTTTTCCTCAGAAAAGATAAATGAACTCAGTGTTCAGAATGGCACTTAAGGCTTAAGACGATTAAATGTGGATGGATACACCACAAATGGTAAGATGTTAAGTTACATACAATATTGAATTTACGACTTAGATATCCCTATCATTTATCCTTCTCAGAATAGGTCTCGGAACAGAAATCCACGCCTCATTCTTCTATGTTGCTTAATTCATAACTCCTATAACAACGAGTAACGTATTTATTGTACAAAGTACTCTTCGAATATTACACTTTTATTCCTAGTGTTTACATAAAGAATAAATTAAGACTGGAATATGTTCAGAGACTATTTACACTTTGCATTCTTGGAACTGATTACACTTTAACTTATTAGGTTCATCTGTAATAAACTTGGACTGAACCCTTTATGGAATGGCAAAGTCAAACTTAACCTAATCTTTTACTTAAACATACTTAATAAACCATTTTTACATCCAATAAAGCAATTTAATATGCAGAAACTCTTAGTTACAGCATCTATAACTCTTTGTCATTAGTGAAACAATTACATTCTAAATGTTCTCTCCATATGAATTATTTTGCCGGTAACATTTTCAGACTGAAATATTTTACCAGTCTATTCGTGAAATAAAATCACTCCCATCCTTTGTTCGCTACATAGATGTTTACTTCCTCACTGAAAATCCCATGAATATCCTTATACCTGTAAATATATCTCGTTCCACAAGTTAGATTATAGGAACTTTAAATGTTTAGTCGTTTTTATTACTGGGCTCACTAAGCAAACCTCCCTAAGTGTTGTTAACTTACACTAATACCGTCCCTGGTAACCTTAACTAATTGGAATAATATCTAAGGCGAACGGTATATCATAAATTAACCTGTCATATGTATTATGATAAACCTGATTGACCTATCATAGCAGTTATTACTTCTGATGTTCTAACATTCAATATGACAATCTATACCAAGTTGATGATGTCAGTAAAATGGCATGAATTATGCAATTACTTATTTTCACAATATATTATTAATACTTAACTATTTTAAACTAAGGGAAATTGAACACTTTATTGGGTATGTCTTTGATCTGTACTACGGAAGAATCAAATGAAACAGTTGAAAGGAAAAAACTTCGATGTTGCCTTGATGTTCAACAGAAAAAGCCAAAGAAAAGTCAGCAAAAAATTTGGAAATAAATCGATTAAAAATGAAATCCACATGAACAAAAAAAGACGTATATATGGGGATTCGAATCCTGCGAGCGGGATCGTGGATGCGCACTGTTGAGGAGTCCCACAATAGGACGAAACGGCCGTCCAGTACTTCCAGGTTTTCAATGGTGGTCTAACATCAATCGGTTCATGATCTCAATCAAAAACTTAACAATCTCCACAACCACTATACTGATAATTACCATATGCTCACTAGTGACTAGAGTCGTGAGAAAATTCTCGGAGTTCTGGTGGAAAGCCGTGACCAGTGGAGATAATTCGTGTCCGGTAGAAACAGGTGTCTACCTCAGTACAACGGAAGATGGTTGCGCAATTACGTTGACTGGTTGAGGTTAGACATTAACACCATTGGATGCCGGTCCAGTTATCCGATAGGTTAAGCGTTCGCGTGCAAGACTGAAGACCTTGGGTTCGAACCCCGCGAGTGGGATCGTGGGTGAGCACTGCTGAGGAGTCCCACGATAGGACGAAACGGCCGTCTAGTACTTCCAAGTTTTCAATGGTGGTCTAACATCAATCGGTTTATGATCTCAATCAAAAAAAACTAGCGGTGTAACGTAACTGTTTGCACAACGCTTTATAGACAAAACAACAAATTTATTCGAAGTTAGCTTTTTGTATGATATGATATTCAGGTGAAAAGATTGATTGAAAACTAAACAAAATGAATGGAACATTAACTATGGCGCCTTAATTTGCACCCACTTACAATCCTACTCACGAGATCAAATCTAACATTTTGAGTCTTATAATGAACATGGTATCGCTAAATTATTTAGCTCATATTTTTTCAATCTAAATTAACTCAATTGTAGTGTAATAATCATCGAATCCTAACAATGATATTGCCTCAAATTCGACACGGTTTAACTCATTCAATCGCACCTATTCCCAGTAAAAAATCTTCCATATGATCACTCTTTGCTCAAATGAAGAAACTTGGTGAACATGCTAAGAATGATCATACATTGGGATATAAAATTAAATTCACAACACAAAATAAAATCGTCTTGATTGAATTGAGAATAAGTGCTGAGACATTAACTGATCTACAGTCAATCACGAGGTTAAGACCTGTATTGCTCATCAATGCTAAGCTAAGAGACCAATACCGGTAGATTCTATAGACATACAACTAGATAATGCAATGTGTTCGGTCACAGTGATAGTAATTTAATTAATGTTACAGTCTTGAAACACCGTCATATGTGGCTTATAAATGTTTGAAGAATACCATCTCAGAAGCTTTGATATCTGCCATTAATTACCAGGGTTGAAAAAAGTTGAGAGATGGTCAATTTATGATATAGGAATATGGTATGGAAGAAAGCAGCATAGGACCAGTATCTGTCGGACCACAGAGACTTCTTGATTGGAGTCCCAGAGATAGTAGAGCAGTCAGTCAGTCAGTCAGTAACAACGTAGAACTATGTACGTATGTACATCAGTTCGAGTTGCCACACCACATTAGCACAGAAATGCAGTTGTCGATTCAAATCCCGTAGTGGTAGAGGTAGCAAGAGTATAAGCAGTAATCAGGAAAATTAGTGTTTGGAGATGTTATTTAAAGAGTATAATCCAGTGAAATAAATTTGGAAAGAGGAAAAAACGGACATGAAGGATTCAGAAGATTAGAATTTGGGAGAACACAGAGAGTGGATGTACCTGCGCCATTGCAAACGATTTTGAGCCATGTCATTCAGTGTCTCTAACCAACGGTTGCTGTCATCTCGCGGTCCCCAACCAGGTAGTCTACACCTACCAACATGACTCAGTTCACTTGTCAGTGACTTCATGGACTTGTGCCATGTTTTGGTTTGGCCGCCTCTAGCTTTCTTCCAACCTACTCCTATACCACTGAACATAGCACGTCGAGGCAGTCGGTCGTTGGGCATACGTAACACGTGTCCAAGCCATCTCAACTGATGAAGTTTCACTAATTCATCAATTGATTTGCCATCCTTACCGAGTACCCGTTTCCTAACAACTGTGTTACTTACTCGATGGTCCCATGATATACGAGCAATGTTTCGAAGACACCTATGATCAAATACCAGTAGCCTACGGATATCCTCTACTCTTACCGGCCATGTTTCACTGCCATAAAGTAGGACGGAACGAACTGCTGCGCAGTAAACACGTCCTTTGGTTGATAGACGGATATCTCGCCTACGCCATAAATGACGCAAGTTGGCAAAAGCTAGTCGAGCCTTCTGTATCCGTGCTGAGATTTCGTCACACACTAAACCACAAGGGCTGATGAGACTTCCAAGATAAGTGAAGCGGTCGATACACTCAACTACTTCACTCCCTATCACTAGTTCGGGTGTCGATGCAACCCAATCCTGAAGCAACATTTTGCATTTCGAGGGAGAGGATCGCATCCCGAACATGCTTGCATTGTTGCTTAGAGTGGTCAGAAGACTCTGCATTTTGTCAGCGTCTTCACCAAATAAAACTATGTCATCAGCATATTCTAAGTCAACAAGTGAACCTCCCTGTAGAAGTTCAACCCCTGTAAATTTAGATGAGGAGAGTGTTATCTCTAAAAGTACTTCGATGACAAGAAGAGAGAGTGGGCAGCCCTGACGAACACCACTTGAGGTAATCAATTCTGGTGACAGTTCGTCATAAGCTCTCACTCTACCAGTTGTGTTCGAGTAGAGAGCCTTTATAAGGTTAATGTACTTCTTTGGTACTCCTTTCAGTGACAAACACTGCCACAGAACCTCACGATCGGGTTCCTAACTCCGGTTTCCTTAACGAGTCTGAACAATTGTCTGCTATTACCTATTGCCGCTGCCTTTTCCATCTCTCTTGCTTTCGCTACCCACCACTGTTCGCGATCATTGCGTAGACTTCTTGTCAGCTTGCGCTTAAGCTGACCCCGCTCTTCATTATGTTCAGAGCCGGGTGGAATGAGTTTCCGAGCATCTATCAGTGCGATAGATGCTGCTGAGATCCAGTGTTGCTCCCTAATCTTCTGGTTTACCTTACTAGCAGATATCAATGCTGTTTTCACAGCTTTTCGGATATCATTCCATGCTGCATCGGGGTGGGCATCACATACATGGCTGCCTAACTATTTTCCTAGTTGTTCCTGAAATATATTCTCAGCTTGACTATCATTAAGTAGGGCCCTAAGAGGTTTCCTTGCAGCGTCTTTCCTACGTCCAGTAAGACGCAAGCAAATACGCGCTCACACTAGAGCATGATCTGAATCTAGGCATGTGCTCCAGAATGAGCGACAGTCTTCTATCGAGCCCCTCCATCGGTGGCTGATAGCGATGTGATCTATTTGGGTCCAACGTTGGGACGAATTAGGGGGTCGCCATGTTAAAAGATGTTTTTCCTTATGCCTAAAGTTAGTATTTGCAAGGAGCAGGCAGTTATCTGAGCATAGCTGCAACAGACGGTCGCCATTATCTGTTCTTTGAGCCACGACACCATAAGATCCACCTAGGTGTCTTTCCCTATCGCTTAGTTTACCTACTTGAGCATTAAAGTCACCGGCCACTATTACTACATCCGAGCGCTTAGCTTTTCGGAGAAGGTCCGAAAGTTTTCTGTAAAACTCATCTTTTACATCATCTGAGCTGCAGTCAGTGGGTCGGGTCGACCATCAGTATAGAAGTCAGTAGAGATCCTGCTGTTATTTTTTTTACATTCTTTATAAAATTGAAAGAAACTCCTCAAACTGAAAAAAAAATCCATTTTGCTTACGTTTTTAACTAATCATTAGTTACTTTTTTTATTGCAATGCCCATCGTATCGTTATTTCTCCACAATCCTATCTCTATATTTGTGTGGCGTATACACTATTGTTGCTCAGCAAAACCACATTTTATGTGCATTAAATAAGTAAATGATAGGTAAATCATATTAATAATTACCTAGAGTCTTTAGTGATTGGAGCGTTCGACTCTCAACCACAATGTCTCAGCTAAGAAACCCCCCGCCAATCATTTACTCTAGTTTAGATAACCAGATAGTATCATTGGAAATAAAATAAGCTGCAGTTAACATTTACTATCAAGGGAAGGTTTTAGTCATGTTGTTTATGAAAAAAAAAACAATTTTAATACCCAAAATTTCAAAAACATTTAAGACAACATTAGAAATTTACGAATAAGTTATTAAGAATTAAATGAACACAACTAATTCGATTTGAAAAGAAAAAAACTGGAGAGACTATTACATCGATTACAATTTGGGATAACAAGGAAAACCAAGGAGTACTGAACAGCCATTTCGCCCCCGTATGAGACTCATCATCAATAGCTCCCGAATGCTTTGGTATGGCCGAGAGTGGGGTGGGCAATCCCTCCCTCTCGAAATGCCCTCACACGGTCACGTGCATAGAGCCTCTGCCTCAGAAGTCCTACTCACTGCCTTCTCGCAGCGGGAGTGTTGCTTGCGAAAATGGGAGGACAAAAAGCGAATGTCCGGCGCTTTAACCGGATCCCAAAACTAATGGGGCACATGGGCTCCAGTATCCTGCGGGAACAAATGGCGTATGAACCAATCTTTGGTCAGTCAGTCAGTCAGTCAGTAACAACGTAGAACTTCGTACGTATGTACATCAGTTCGAGTTGCCACACCACATTAGCACAGAGATGCAGTTGTCGATTCAAATCCCGTAGTGGTAGAGGTAATAAGAGTATAAGCAGTAATCAGGAAAATTAGGGTTTGGAGATGTTATTTAAAGAGTATAGTCCAGTGAAATAAATTTGGAAAGAGGAAAAAACGGACATGAAGGATTCAGAAGATTAGAATTTGGGAGAACACAGAGAGTGGATGTACCTGCGCCATTGCAAACGATTTTGAGCCATGTCATTCAGTGTCTCTAACCATCGATTGCTATCATCTCGCGGTCCCCAACCAGGTAGTCTACACCTACCAACATGACTCAGTTCACTTGTCAGTGACTTCATGGACTTGTGCCATGTTTTGGTACTCGTGGCACCGCTTCCATGCGACTGCATCTCCTTACGTTGCTCCACTGCCTTGTGGATCAGACCTTCAGGTCGAAAGCTCGGGGAGTGGCCCCTTTAGAAAACCACCTGCTTCGGTTTGGGCATCCAAGCAGTATAACAGCCCACACATGTGTGGCGCATATATATTTGGTGCCCTCTTGTACCAACGTTTATGTGTTCAAATAAATAAATAAATACCCAATCACGGATCAAAATGATAATCTTCAAGTCTGGTGATAAACATTTAACCATAAAACTCTTTAAACTAAATTCGAGATTTATTCAAATCTTAGACTATATATGAAATATAAGATGAATCTAGTATATATGTCCATACATATTCTTTAGACAAACTTACAAAATTGATTGAAATCGGTACCATGTCAGATTGAAAAAAAATTGAAAGTTGTCTAAGAAACATTAAAACCATGAACAAGGTTAACAAGAATAGTAGAAGCGATCGACTCCGTCGCCGTGGTAATATATTATAACCCTGAAAAAAATAAAACATGAAAAGAGTAATAATAAAACATAATAAAATCAATATTATGGTTTACAAGCCATTCACACACATTATATAGAAACTCAATTATTTAGATGGTGGTTGGAGGTAGTCAACAGGAAACCCTGGACCCGAGTTTCGTGCTACTTGGCACTCGTCAGCAAGGTGTACCTGTAATCTTGAGGGAACTGGTGCTCCCTGGCGGATTGCAACATGATCGATAGCATTCGATCTGCACTAATAAGGACTAGACAAGCATAACATTGGTCACCACCCAGTGATCAATCAATTGTGAAACTCAATTATTCTTTGTAAGTGAACTGATAATATGTAACTATTCTAGTTTTACACAATATGAAAATGTCATTTATCTTATTTGAATAATTATACCATTCAGTAATTCTAAATGAGAATTAATCATTTCAATTTTCTTAAGAGAATATACTTCTGTATTGGATTTCTGGTAAACTTGCCAACATCATATAAATTCTGACCATTGAAAGAGATATACAAATTATGGATAGATATGAACCTGATTTAAAGGAAGATATGAACTGGTTGTTATAAACTATCGTTATAGATGCTGTAACTTGGAAATTTTATCAACAGTATTATATTCGCTTTTCTTATGTTATCTTCTTAACTTTCACAGTTGAAATCACGAATTAATCTAAGCCAACTCATCATTGAAAACCTGGAAGCACTGCATGGTCGTTTCGTCCTAGTATGAGACTCTTCAAAAATGATACATCTACAACCCCGCACGCGGGATTCGAACCCAGGAATATCGGTCCAGAGAGAGAACGTTTAAACCCTAGACTACTGATCGTGGATACGCACTGCTGAAGACTCCCATACTAAAATGAAACGGCCGTCCACTGCTTCCAGGTTTTCAGTGGTGGTCTAACTTAAATCAGATCGTGATTTGAACAGTGAAAATACTAAATTCTCCACAAATCCCTATACTTATATATAAACTTGTTGGTTGGAATCTGAGTACTTTAGTCACTAAGCATCTGCTCCGCTAATAAGACTTCCTATGTTCTTTATGAGAACTAAGACTTGGCATATGTTGAACGCTGTTACAGCTATACTCATTAATACACTCTCATCTCACATCAAATTTACGAACGAGAATAAAAATAAATACGGTGAGCTAACGTTTTTAGATTGCGTAGTTAAAAAAAATCTAAATGGAGCTCTAAATCTAATCATCTACCGAAAACCAACGCACTCAAATTGTTATATCGACTTCTATTCAGCATATCCATTCAATGCAAAAATCTGTCTATCCCTAAATCTCTTTAGAAGAGCCAAAACGATCGTTACATCTGACGAGGATAGACGAAAAGAACGAAAGAATATAGTATCTTACAACTTAATAATTTTTCTACGAAAATTATTAAAAGTGCAATAAAATGAGACATATGACTGCTAAATAATGATTCGAATGAAATACTATGGATTGATAATGTAGTTTTACCACACCACCAAGGTACAACAGAACTTCAGTCTGAAAATACACAGAATTAAAGTCTAATACAAAACAACGAACACCCTTCACAATACTTTAGTTCATATAAAGCGGAAAATCCCCTTTATGTCAACACAGAATTGTGTCTACAAATTAGGTACATAAAGAAACCGCGTAATAATCCCGTAAAACTGGCAAGACTCCTAATTAAATCGACAATAGCAGTTTGTGCTATTTTCAAAAACCATCAAATCGATATTAAAAACATCAAAATAGTACAAAAAGGCTTTTCCAACTCCAAAAAAAAGCGAGTAGCTAAAGCTTTTCATATATTGTAGGTGTCATTACCAAGGTTTGATTTGATAATTTCGAATAAATTGAGTATTGGGTTGATTGTTATAAATAAAAATAATATATTTGTAATATCCCAATGAGTAGAAAATTGGGTTTTCTGACGTTTCGTGACTTAGTGTAAGTCACTTCTTCAGAGAATAAATAACCAAATTAAAATTAATCCAAGTTTAAATAGTACGATGGAACCATTGTACTACTTTTCATATATTGCTTAATCCTACTACCTTCAATAGAAACGTCTCACTATCTATCCGACTAAGACTACCTATCCGAGCCATATCTGTTTCTATTCACTTCTCATACTATTATCACACATACAAACTTAACTCTATCCTTTCTCACCAAAAATATCACATGTTTTCATCATTTACCCCACACATACACAAATAAACAAACATGCCGCATATAAATCACCTTAATCGGAACGACATGACATTGACTTGGTCAGACCTGCTTTTGACTGGTCGTAACTAATATTATTGCTTTGCACCTTCGTACTATTTAAACATTTGTTAATTTAATTTGTCTACTTATCCACTGAAGAAATGGCTTGTATTGAGTCACGAAACACCAGAAAATCTAATTTTTCTACTCATTAGGGGATTAGTTTTATTTATGTCATTCGTAAGTATATATCATACAAAAATATACTTCCACAATACGTATTAAAATGAGTTTTAATAGAAACGAAATTCGTTTCGAAACTCTTTTGGATATTTTATAGAACGGTTTCATGAATATAAGGAATGAATAAATTGAAATTACTTCTTGTTAAAGAAAATGAAATGTTAAAACAATAACAACATAAAAATAGTCAGTATATGGTTGTGAAGAACGTTTAGTTCTACTGAAATTGCAAACCGATATAAGTCAGATGATCATAGAACACCTGAAAGTATCGAACAGCGGTTTTGGCCTAGTATGAGAAGTTTCCGGAGTTTTATTGATCTCCAACCAGTGGGATCCAACCGTTTTGGGTGTGAGGAAGGTACCAAACGAAGACAATGGAAGATGAACGCGCAATATTGTGGGCCGACTGAAGTTACATTCGTACACCAATAGATTTAGCCTCAGTCATCTAGAGGTTATACATTCCCGTAAAACTGCAAGTATTGAGTGCGATTTTCTGTGACGGGGTCGTAGATGCGCATTGCTAAGGAGTTTCATTCTGGACGTCTTTTAATTGTTTCTTTAACCATTCATAATTATTTCCGTAAACACTTAAATTGATAATATTACTTAATACATCACTGCCGGGTTGGTATATTTTTATTGTAGAACACATACATATATATTGGTGTAGAGATAATGGACAAAAAAAATTACTTCGCTCTGTTCGTCATTAACTAAAAGTCAATTTAAAGTCCATACAACACAAAACTGTATTACAGAAGATGAAAATATCAAAGGATAGTGATAAAACAGAGTTCAGTGCATAATAAGCATTTGTTATATCCCAATGAGTAGAAATAATGTATTTTTGACGTTTCGTGACTTAGTGTAAGCCACTTCTTCAGAGTAAATACTAACTCTCTACTTCATGCTCAATTTATTTGAAACTACCAAGTTCAACCTTGGTATTGATACCTATAGAGTTCAGTGCAACGGTCAACCAGAACATAAAAGGATTAAAAGTTCGCATTTGTTTCAAATAATTGATGAATGAAATATTTAATGCCTTTCAATTCAACCAAAGTTTAGTCACTGTAACAAGTGCTATAACAAAACATGTTGACTTAAGCGGTACTAGAAACAACACCACAAATATATTGTAGTTATTATTAATGATCATAGAATTGCCTATAATTTTCTATTTGTATATATTGGTTAGCTTATTAACTAGTATTCACAGAAAGTATTTTAAGATTCTGCGATTCATTGATTGTAATTACTTTTCTGACAATAACGAATTTCCACAAGCTTCCATGATTAAAACGACGAAGTTAGTTTCTTCTACTGATGTAATATGCATCGACTTACTAATTATCAACCACACAGAAATGAAGTGAGTTCATAACCAATGTATTTGTATGAATTTTTTGAGTTTGTAGTAACGAGATTATGAAAATAAGAACGCTTGTAATTTTTTGTCCATATTAACTCGCGTGAGTTACAGAATTCCCGATCAATGTTTGGAGCAGTAATAAAGAAAACCCCATAATGAGTGGGACAGATAAAAAAAGAATAGAATATATAAAATTGTTGTCGAAAAACATTACTCATATCAAGTCTGAAATCCCTAACACACGTTAAAACTGATCGATTTGAAAGTAACAATAGTCAAACTTTTGTTTACATAAGCTTACACACAGAATAGGACATATACAGAGAAAAACATGACACTAACATCAGCATTTACACTCTTTAACTACGTTCTTTCTGTTTTATAGTTTTAATATGAAGCGCGACAACTCGGATAAATACAATTTTCGCCAGGTGTATTACCGACTGATACAAACTGTCACTATTGTACTAAGCTTTCACTTACTATTAAAAGAATGCTTTTGACCTGTTCACTATGTTGAGGCACACGACCAACTGATATCTAAGTAAAATGTGGTTTTATGCTGAGCCCTCGAAGTTGTAAAAGAAACTGGGTAGTCGTAATATAAAAAATGCAAATGCCTCGTAGCTAATTTCATTGCATGTAAAGATGTATATTTGACGCAAACACTATTTCCAGTAAAGCATTGCCTCAGATACTCTAAAAAACTATCTCAGAGATCTTTGTTACCATAATCAACAAACGATGTCTTTTTCCAGAATTAAAGATTCTATGGCTGTCTTTTCATTGAAAATCCACGTTTAGCATGTTGTGGCAGACCAAGGTAAGACCTAAATTGTAGTTTATTGTTCTTTCCTAGAGTTTCATGACTCGATAAAGATAAATTCTCTTGAATATATCACGATGGTAAACACCGAATCGATAGCCGAAGTCTAAAGCCGACAAGTTGGTTATCTGTATGAAAACAACAGAACCAAAATTATGTAGACAGCTGACCCATAGAGATCAGACCTCTCAATACAACAGTACAATATAACGCTTAGAACT